AGAAGGAACGTCCTCCGCCTGGAAATAGGTGGACTTTAGGCCGCGGCTTGTTGAACGAGATAGCCGGTGCGATGCAGTTGGCTCGCGATGCACTGGGGCGGAGCCGCGAGCGAAGTTTGGCGCGGCAGCTGGCAGTGGGGCATGACGTCGCGCACGTGCGGCCGCAGGCGCAGAGCTTCCAGCGTCCTTGGAAAAGACGTTATGCGCACGATTATAGACATGCTTCGGCGATAAATGTGTTTCTTGCAGTCCCATCGCGATGTGGGCACTCGGAAAAACGCGTGTATCTCTGTGGAGAACATGTCGATCTCATTGGCCGAGGTAAGCAAATGGGCGTGGGTTTTCTTTTCTTAGAAACAAACTACATCAGCCTCTTCATTTTGACATCCTGTTTGAGCATATGGTCCGGTATCAGTTGTCACAAACATGCAGAGGGGAACCAGGATGTCCTGAGTGGAACTATTGATTCCTGCTAGATAGATGATATCCAAGGTGCGACGTGCAAGCTGCGTTGCCAACGTGTCCTTTCGATCATCAAGTTGATATACCTTCATATGTAAAACCTCGTAAATGTTACCAATCTTGAGCATGTCAACGAACACCCCAGTAGAGATATCTGTCCAACGCCCAAGAAATATTCGCATGCGCTGCTGTCCATTCAAGATGGCAACTTTTGGGAACGTTAACGTCGCACCAGCGATGACAGCTCTGAACGGGCAGCTAGTTGGAGTCGTCTTGGTCGACGCCGACCTTGACTTCGAAGTGCTCCATGCCACCAAAGCCGTGCTTGGACAACCAACCAGTAGGAACGACCGACTCAAATTGGGTCATCCAAGGCTCAGCAGACTCCTTCTTGAAGATGATGTGCAGGTAGGGCTTGGTGACGGCAGGGGTAGCAGGGATTACTACCCCAAGAGTTGCAGCCAGAGCTACCATAGCAGGAGCTGCAGGGATTGGAGCAGTGTCACGCTGGGCGGGCTTGCGATGAATACGAACCGACGCCAGTGAGCGGCTACGAAGGATAGAGCGCCACTTTCCGTTCATGCTAGAGCATTGACGGTTCTGAAGGACGCGACGGCCGAACAGGCGGTAGCTGTAAGATGGTCAGTGAATAGATCAATTGATGAAAGAGGCAGGGAAACTCACAGATCCTTGGCTTCACCATCAGTCTCAGCAACGTAGTTGGCCTTGAGGTAGCGACCGAACCCAGCTTCAATCTTGAGGCTGTTGGCCCAGATGTCAAGAAGAGTAAAGACCTCGATGCCATCACCAGCACGCTCCAGCTCGTTGGGCTTGTCTCCAACCGCGATGGTCAGGTTGCCGACAAAAGGCGCGTCCTCGCTGCGCTCTCCTGGAGGACCGAGGTTGGAGACGACATCTGTGGCGGTCGGATAGAAAGTCTTGAGGTAGTCCACGATCTCGGTGAGGTCCATGCCGATCTCCTGCTTGGCCATGTAGATGGGACGGTACTCAGCCCTAACTTGACGGCATACCTGAGTAAGGCCCCAGAAGGGACGGTTAGTCTCTCGAGGTTCTGTCTTGGGCTTGGGCTTAGTGGAAAGACGAGACTTGTTGTTGCCGCCCGAGATCTTCTTTTCCTGGTCCTGGTCGACGATATCAGACGCCAAAGTACGGCCGCGATCGAGACGAGTGCGGGGACGCAGAGAGGCGAGGCGCGGGCGGTAAACGAGGAGGGCCTGCTTGGGACGTCCATGGGTGTGCATGTAGATCTGGTTCCTGAGTTCTGTCAACAGTTAGCTTGTGTCAAAAGGGTCAAAATCGCGTGACTTACCTCCGGGGAGGTCCATGAAGCGGAACGGCTTCTGCAGAGCGGGGTCGCTGGTGCCGACCTTCTCTTTGAGAGCAACATCGACCAACTTAGCCATGGTGCCATCTGGCTTCTTCTTGGTCTTCTTCTTGACACCAGCATCAGTGCGCGCGTGGCCTCCACGCTTGCGCTTGCTCTGGCGGATAGGCAGGGCCTGGGCAGGGACAGGACTCATGGTGAGTGCCGCGAAGCCAGGTACAGGCAGTCCAGGGGAGGGCGGCACAGTCGCATGCTCCGAGCCCATGATGACGTTGAAACCGCCTTTGAAGCCATTTCGGCGTGAAGTTGGTGTAGAGGGGGCAGGAACGACTGGCGGATGACCAAACTTCCTGGGAGAAGAACGGGAAGGAGGTGGGGTGCTCGGGCGAGTAGGGCTGTCTGAGTTAGCAGAGTCCATCAAACCAATACTGAGAGATTTGTGGGGAGATCATGAGCTCTACGTGTGAAGAAAAGGGACTTACGCCATGAGGTCTTGTAGTTCCGGCTTGTTGCTGGGTTTGAGAGAAGTTGCTGATAGCGTGGGAAATAGTGATAATCAGATATTCAAGATAATTGCGGGATGTAGAAGTAATGGAGCGTAGACCATGGAGGTTATTATATCTCCCACGAAGTAAAGGTGAGTGAGGAACACGCCAACGATAATCGCCACCAGAGTGTCTGACGGTGACTGAGGAAATTGCCCAAATCGGTCGTCACCTCGACGTTGAGCCTCAGGTAAGAGAGCGGGGATGCTTGGCACGTCTGTCATAATCGTATTTCGTGTTGGTATGATAGAGTTTGGAAGCAGGGATGTTGAATAGAATGTCATTGTACCAATAATCCAAGAACGTGGAAGGAGCGCGTGGTCCAATCGCGTGGTTGTGGGTAGGTCTTTCCTATTGTACCTACGAGGGAAGGCAGCATCGCAGTGTCAGTAGTTGCAGTCACAGCGATGGGTCATACATCGAAATCCCAGGCTCCGACCCTGAACACGAAGGTTAGTTGCGTTTGTAGGTGGTTGCAATTGTGCAGGTCGAGGGCCATTCCCTCCAACTTTTACCTCCGGTATCGCACTCGTGACTAAGAACAAGAATGTGCGATTGCAGGTTATTGAAACGTGCTATTGTGTTGGAATGCGTCGTGACTTTGATTCAGCGTGATCGCTTCTTTTACCGCGGTGGTGGTATGAAGAGTCAGGCGAACTGGGAGCCTAAAGTACATGGGAAGTCCCTCCGTCGATCGAGTGGCTGTTGGGATGGTCGCGACGCAAGATACGGTAACAATGCGCAATAATATATCGGAACGAGTGGTAATGGCATGGAGGGTACTAAATACCGAACGATGTTGTAATGGCTGTGGTGGGAGTAAAAGCAAACACCCTCTTATATGCAAGACGGTAGCGGGAGCGGTAGAGCCTGGCAGAAATCGAAACTGCAGCCTGATCCATCTGAAGGGAGATCACATTTCATATCAGGAGACGCTTTCAATGAGGAAAGACCCGAAGGTCGTGGTAGAAGGAGCGGACCCTGAGAGCTGCCTGGGCCATGACGTCATCATCCTCGCGATCGTTATCTGGGCATCCGGAATACCTAGGTAGCTGTTGCATTGCTGCACTCACAGTTTCATGTATTAGCGAGTAAATTTCGTTCAAATTGTTGTAAACTTCTGACACAGCCATACCCTAACTCCCTGAGACATCAATGTACATTACGACACGAATTCTGCTCCCCCATGATGTGATTTTCGATCATGTTTACGTTCTTAGAATCGCTCGCCCCTCCGTCTGCAGTAAAGCCCCGCTCATTGACAGTAGGCCATTTACGCGTAGCCCATCGTACCATCCCAAGTTTCAACTCGCATGCCGCAATAGGCCTCCAAGGCTTTTTTAAGGGGAAGAATCCGCTGGGTAGCGTATTTTGGCGTCCAATACCCGTATGGTCCAACCTGTACAACTATGACTGGGGGGGGGCATACGGAGCAGTGTGCTCGATTACCATGCCGTCAAATATGTTTTCGCGTATAGCTAAGAGCCAGGCGGGGTCGTCATATTGAAGAAGAAGACACAGTTTGTGGCAATCTCTCTCTGCCAAAACCCTGAGGCTGGGATCAGACTCATCAGGTGTGCGGTATGAGTTTTCCAGGGCGACTTCGAAGCGAATAGATGTCCAACGCGCGCGGATCTTTAGTAGTTCCGCCATATCTTCAATCATAGCCAAGTCTGCAGCGGAACCATTGGAGTAACGATTGTATGAAGGATCCTGTGGCTTGCCCCATAAAAGCCGCACAACGCGAGGGCCGCCGCTCGAACTGGGCCCGCCTGGGTAGAATGTATTGAACCAATACTCCATGTGTTCGATTCTGTCCCAACGAAATGCGACTACCGCTTCACGGCGCTGTATGGGCAAGTATTCAGCTCTGATCTGCCGGCAAACTTTCGTAAGCCCAGCGCCGATGCCCTGGAGAGAGGTATCATGCTGGTAGTTCATGTTTGAGATGGTTTGTACTTCAGACAAGGAGGCGAAGTGGTACACTCGATTGCGCAGTTCTGTCTATCGTCAGTGTTACGCGTTACAAGAGAGGCGGAGAGACTCCCGTACCTGGTATAAGATCGAGGAAGCGGAAAGTCATCGTGACTATGCGGTAGGTTGAGAAGTGGATTGCAAGTCTCTTTATTGGTAGCTGCGACGTGAGCGTGTTCGCGGATCGAAATCGGTATGCAGAGGTATCGCTTTGTGTGCGGCGCGACCATGTTATATATCTTTGCTCCTGACTCACATCTAAGTGCGATGCGAAAACTTGGTTCATCCACTTCGTCCTATGGTACTGCGGTGCGGAGCAGACTAGCGAATCACAACTTGCGAAATCTATATCACACCCAGTCAATTCGTTTTCACCGACTAAAATGTGTCGTCAGCACAAGAGCTTGCGCACCGCAATGTGGCAGCGGGGAGGAGCGCTCACGAAAGTTGTTTGACTACGCGAGCTCTACCAGGCTCCGAGCCGGCGTACAGTGAGCGCCGACCTGCTCATAGCCTCTGCGAGATAAACGAAATCCTCCGCAACATAGACTGGTCAGGCAACTAGGTGATTCGATCGACTTTTCATTCAATTCTTCTTACACTAAATACTCGGCGACGCATGCTCATCAGGCGATAGGCTTGAAAGCTCGGGTTGACTGGTTCCTCAACCTCGCTCAAGTAAACATAGGTGAAAAGTACAACGCAACATGATGACCGTGTGATAGCGCGACGTCAAGACCGCGAGCGCTACTCCACGCATCAGGCGCGCTGATCGCTTCATCGTAGTTCTTGGAGGCGTGGACACCCGTGAAATTGATACAAATACATGTAGTCTCATCGAATGATGCGCTTGATCTGATCCGGACATCTCCAATAGTCCCGTTCCTAATATCCTCGCGCCACTTTTCGTTTGCATGGAAAGCAAGTGCGTTGAGACCGCGAACTTGGTTCACAGTCAGACCATAGCGATTCGCAATGGCGGCGGGCACCATCTTGCAGTCCAGGTCAGGGTGGGTAGCCTTGAGCTTGAGAACCGGAAAGATGCTGAAATGAGAGTCGGATCTGGAGGATATCGCGACCCATGCCTCGACGTGTATAGTATGAGGGAGGGACATGGAGTCTTCAGCTGTCGTCATGAATGCCTGAGCATAATGGCCAACATTTGCAAGGTCCAGCTGAACCTCAGCCATGTGACGCTGAACTGGGCGGTATTCTCGGCGGATCTGGACACACACTCTTGTGAGCGCAGCGTAGTTGCCGGACTGAAGAGAGGCATCGCGTCGGATAGGAACGTGTGCGTCGTTGATTGATGCGAAGTGGTACACCATATTGCGCAACTCTAAACAATGTTAGTAGCTCCTCTCGCGCGATCCAGGATGAGGGAAGTAGCATACCCGAGCTGAGGTCGAGGAAGCGAAAGGCCATGATGACTTTGGTACTCTTGAAGCGAATGGGTAACTTAGACGACGGTAGTATTTGACGGAGACTCAGATGTAAACGTGGTGGCTTATCGAGAGTTTGATAGCGAAGGTAGCGACTCGTTGTAAGCGAGGGCAGGAATTAGTTTACCCGCACGTGAGCCCAGGCAGTAGTGCTATGACCTACAGAGAGCGGTGAGTCACTGACAGCTTACTTATTACGTAGTGAGCGATGGATGATTGCATTCTGTATCTCTCTGTTTACCATTTACGTCAGGGAAATAACATTCAACGAAAGCTCCAGTACTACTCCACGGAGTGAAGGAAAGTGACGTTGATGCGATGACTCTGTGATGCCGAAGCCTGCAGGCCGTGAGAGATAAGCCACTCCTCGGAGGCTCTTATTTCTTTAGGTATTTCCCTCCAACCAAGCTTACCCACGAAGACAATTTCAACCTGTGTAAGCCCGCGTTGCATCTGTATGTAGACTTCGCCAATGAAACCGTTGCTGATACATGCGTGCCAGTCCTTGTTTGAATGAAGGAGCAGCGAGTTCAGGTCCTGTGCTTGCGTCAAGGCGATAGTTGCTAGAGCGGCCGCGTCATGCGGGCCACCGCCTCTGACACGGATCCCCTTTTGGACAGTAGCGATCACGATCCTAATGTCCAAGCGGGGGTTCTCAACTTTGACTTTGAGAATTGGAAGTGAGTCGAAATGAAGAGTCCGTCCTGGCTTGATGAGAGATACACGGACGTGAACCTCAAGAGGAAGGATCATCATGTCCGCGGATGAAGTGAGAAAGGTTCGAGTAAAGTCATCAAGGTCTGAAAAGTCCACGGAAAGTTTGGCCCTGCGACGCTGCATTGGTCGATATTCAGCTCGAATCTGAGCACAAGCTCTCGTAAGGCCCGCATAATTGCCGTCTTCTCTAAAAAGTAGTTGGGATATAGACAGCGGCTCGTCCTTGCCTGCCGCAACGATCTCGTAGATGCGGTTGCGCAGCTCTGCATGAGGTCAGCGCTGTCTGAAGTGCAAGTCAAGTGAATGGAGTGAAAGACTGAAATTGCGTACCTGATGGGAGATCTAGAAACCTGAAGACCATTTTTGCGAACCCTTGCGTTGGCGGATGGTTCTGATGTGTTCAAGCTCGATGTAGAGTTGCGTGTCCACAGTGTAATTGAGGGAGCAAGATTGTTGTGAGAGTGCAGGCAGGACCAATCTAGCGACAGACCGTGCACGCTAGGCCCAGAGGGCTCATTGTGCTTCTGAAGAGTGAAAGAAATCACAACTGGGTACGGTTTCCAGGATTTGCCCGCAGAAAGGTAAGCTATTTTCTGCGCACGACCTGCGTCGACTACTTGAGAGGACCATAGTGATTGGCCGGGAGGCACGATGAACGGGACTGCCTTGACTAAAGCTATCTCTTCCTCCGCCACCTCATCCTGACGGAGTTTGACTGAAGAGAGTCACCGGAGAGTATGGTCAGGTCCCGGGCGAAGTAGACTGTTACCTCATCGTCGTACGCGAGGCGTAGAAGTGGCTTCGCTACGTCAAGATTGTTGCCCTCCTCATGTTCCAGATGATCGTGTCTAGTACAATGCGCACAAATACAGTTCATACTGTACAGAAGTAGAATGCCGTGCGAAGAATGGAATCCGGTTGCCTCAAAGGACGCGCCATGGCTGCCGTGTGACAAACACCCGGAGAAAGAGTTGACGAGAGGCAATGAACTCATATTTGTCTGACCCGTGGACTGATCTTCTGCACCTAAAGACCCCTCCGAGATTCCAGCCGAGTCATAGCGCACTCAAAACCCAGCAAAGTATCGTGGAAGGAAGTCACAAAAGAACAACGCAGTCGGTAGAAGACACGGTACGAGCCGCGCGCTCAGAAGGAAGGTAAGCCGAGGGCAACGGGCACCATCCCAATTCAGGAACCATCCCGCCCCATCCGGACGACAGTCCTCCAGATTTGCCCCGCAACACCACCCCGTGACGCAATGCCATCCCATGTTTTGCTCGGCGGGGTAAAAGCTGCAGCGTCAGAGTCGCGGCCTTTGAGCCTCACTCGGCAGACCTTCCTCCGCCCAATCTCACGCGTCTAGATACATAAGTGTCGACCTCCGACTCCGACTTCTTACTATACAGACTTGCAAGTTACTCGTCTTTTTCGTAGTTCACAACTCTTGTACAAGCTTCTACAGCATATCGTTCTCCCTTCAAACCGCCAAAATGTCCATGTCCGTCGAAGAATGCCAGGCGCCACGCGCCGGCTTCCCCAAACCCGTGCCGGACACACCCACAAACGTCATGCAACAATTCAGCATGAAAGGCAAAGTCATCGTCGTCAACGGCGCAGCCGAAGGAATCGGTGGAGCCGTAGCCGACGCCATGGCCGAAGCAGGCGGCAACGTAGCCCTGTGGTACAACTCCAACAGCGCGGCCATAACCCGCGCGGAGAACCTCGCAAAGACACACAACGTAAAGACAAAAGCCTACAGCGTGAACCAGATCAACGCGGAAGCAGTCCAAAAAGCCGTGCAGCAAGTGGTTGAGGACTTTGGCCGCATCGACGTCTTCGTCGCAAACGCCGGCACAGGAGACAGCAAGCCGCTCCTCGACCAAACCCTCGACAGCTACCACAACCTCATGAAAGTCAACGTCGACGGCCCCGTTTTCTGCGCCAAGTACGCCGGCGAGGTATTCAAGAAACAGGGATTTGGCAACTTGATCCTCACCAGCTCCATCTCCGCGCACATTGTCAATGTGCCCATCGACCAACCCATCTACAACGGTACAAAAGCGTTTATCTCGCATTTGGGCAAGTCGCTGGCGAGGGAGTGGAGGGAGTTTGCGAGGGTCAACATTGTGAGCCCGGGGTTCTTTGATACCAAGATGGGGGCTGGGCCGCAGGTTATTAATGAGGGGTTGAGGATGATTCCGCTGGGGAGACAGGGTAATGTCAAGGAGATTAAGGGGTTGTTTTTGTACTTGGGTAGTGATGCGTCGAGTTATATGACAGGAAGCGATTGTATTATTGACGGTGGGTATGTACTGCCATAGATGTGTAGTGGATAGAGGAAAGGAATTGATACCATGTCTGTTATTCATTGAATGCAGGAAAGCTATACCCGTTGCCTGCGTCGTGTATTCCTAATCATGGACATTGTTCTAGCTCTTCAAACATTTGATTAGGGTGAAAGGTTGAAATTAAAAGGTATATGTGCTCGCTAAGCCCAGATGAAAAGAAATTGGAAACACGATGAGAACTCTACTCATCTTTACTCCTCGCCCTGTCCAGGCTCTCCCGCTCGGTCGTCTCACCACTTCCCGCTTCAACACCTTCGCTTCCCTTGCTCTCTTCATCTCTCCTCTTGTCTTGAGCGATATCTGGCGCAGGTGCAAAGTTACTCTTGCCTCGGATTCTCTTACCAAATACATAGAAGACCACTGGCATCGGTACAAGTACGAGCGCCACGCAGCCAAGCAGTGTACTGGCCCATTGGATTCCCATACCATTGAACATGAAGGTTGCGAATAGTGGGAAGACTCCACCAAACATGGACCGCATAAAGGTGTTTGCTGCAATAGCGGAAGCAGCAAACATAAGGTACGCGTCGACAATGTAGTTGAGAAGCGAGAGGAAGATGGAAAAGATTCCGAAGCCGGTGAAGAGACCGCTCAGGACAGGGACGATCCAGTGAACATTGCCGGTGTAGCCTGTCCATCCGAACCAGAAGAGACCGGCTGCGAAGAGCACACCACCGACCATGCTGATGGGTAGGCGCCATTCTGGGACGGGAATGTTGTTGTTGGCTTCCAGCTTTTTGATGTATCGTGGGTTGTCGACGACAATGATGATGAAAGCGATCACTTCACCAGCGACCATGCCGAAGTAGGCAAGTCCGCCGATGCCGGGACTCCAGCCGTAGACGCCTTGGAAGACGAGGGCGTATGCGGTAAGGAAGAGGTAGAGTAAACCATCTAGAATTGTTAGCTCAGTTCTTGTAACAAGACGGGGTGATCCAACTTACATATAAAGCTCATGTAGATGGTGATGAGCAGTACAATAGGCTCGGTGAAGAGAATGCGCATCGGTCGGCTGACGTTCTTAACGATCAGCTCCTTGAAGTCGACTTCAATTTCCTCCTGCTTGGCGTGGATACCCCAGTTCTTGGTTCGTCTCCTCAGCTCGCTCGCCTTGTTGATCAGCACGACAGGCGGGTATGTCTCTTCCATGAAGAAGAAGAGCAGAGCGAATGACAAAAAGCCCATAAAACTGCTGATGTATTCGGTCCACCGCCATCCAAGATCGCTCTGGGTGATGAATCCTCCGATGAAGGGTGCGAGTAGAGGGCCCATGAAGACGGTTGCGGAGAAGACTGCGACGGCGAGACCGCGGAGTTTGTTGTCGAACATATCAGCGAAGACGGCGGCGACGATAGCGAGAGGAGAGGAGCCGAAGAGACCGGCGAAGAATCGACATATCATGATGGTCTGGATATCTTTGGCTGCGGCGACGGCGATGCTGAAGATGGCAAAACCAAAGGCGGCGATGATGAGGGGAGGTTTTCGGCCATACAGCTCCGAGAAAGGTGCCCACATCTAGAAGTTGTTAGCATATCTGACCGCAGTCTATGGTCAGCGTTCACTTACCAAAGGTCCAAAGGCATATCCAAAAACGAACAAACTCGTTCCTAGAGTGCCCACAACATTGGCAACACCGTATTGTTGCGATACTGCTCCTGTAGCGGCCGAGAAGATACTGCTACCCATGGTGGCTGTGAGGGCGTCGAATGCTAGGATAGCACCAATGCCAATCTTCTTCTTCATCGGCCAGTTCTGCGCATGCAGCGGATCGTCGACGCCGTCGAACTCGACTACATATTCTTCCCTGTCCGGTAGCAGCGGGGGGAAAGGCTTGCCAGCTCCTAGGTTCGGCAATGGCTTCTCTGTACGACGGCGTGTGAGGGTCCTCGATAACCGCGAATCGACGCGCGATGCACCGACTGTGCCTGCATGCTGACTTCTGTGTGTCTCGATTCGGCGGATAGCTTCGGGGTTGCGTTCAGTGGGATGTAGTGTCAGGTAGTTGCCGCTCGAGGCCTGCGAATTGACGGTCGGTCGGCGGTCGCGTGCGGGGGTTGAGCGGGCGGTGCGTATTTCTTCGAGACGTGCGCTATGTGTGGATGCAGAGCTTGCAGAGCTAACAGTCGAAGCCGAAGATGTGCTGTGCCGTGAGAGAGGCGAGGCAACCTCCTCTTCCTTTTCTCTGATGGGTGATGCTACTGCTTCTGTTGGGAAGGATATCTCGCTCTGGGTGCGCTCTCCTCGTTCGTGTGCTTCGATGTTGCGCAGGCGCTCATCAGGTGTCTGGTCATGCAAGTGCCGTCTGTGGTACTCTTCGCGAAACTGGCGGTGCGGGTCCCAGTTTGCGAAGCGCTCAGGGCTTGCGTTCGCCTCATTGCGCAGGATATCCAGGTCTTCGTTCTGCATCTTGATCGCAATCTCCTCTTTCCTCGACCAAGGTTGTGAGAGTGGCTGTCGCGCTGGAAAGCGATAGAAATTGCCAGCGCTCGGCTGTCGGAACAATAATAGTAAATGTTCAGCCCGACGACGAGGCCGTTGTGGATCGTGTGGATCTAACGCGCGACGGTACGACTAGTCGTGACCGTGTTTTCGGGAGATGGACGCGGGTGCTGTCAATGGCGATGAACAAGCTTCAATCGTTCAATCGCTTGACAGCAGCCCGTCGCCCTAAGTATCTGGCGCGCGTGGCCGTCATGAGCGAAAGATTTGCTCACCTGCACATCTCCCGCATCTGTTCCATGCGACATGGCGAGAATATTGCCGACACCAGCGTCCGTATCCGGCGGACAGAAGGTGAGTAAGCCACCGCTAGCCGATTGTGCGAAGGCGGTCAGAGCTGTCCTTCATCGTGATTGGGCAGGTCAGTTGAGCGCAGAGAAGAGGTTTGCCGGCGGAAATAGAAGTTCGCCTACGTCATGGGCAGAATCTGCTGGGTAATCAGCGGCGCAGGCCATTGTCATCACCGTGCATACGTAGCGCCTCATGCAAGTGGGGCACCTCGTGGTCCTCAATA